CTTCACGAGCTACGATGAAATAGAAGTTCCGGTTACCTTTTGGGTTTTGCCGAGGCTCGAACTCCACTCGAGTATATCCGGCAGAACTGCATTAAGAAGTTCTCAACGGGAACCGATATCCTTTTCTGCCTGTTTCCCCGCTTCCTGTCCACCGTCGCTTTGCCTTCGTCCACCTCGCTTCCCTCTTCTCTTCGACGAGAAGATTCAAACGGCCTCTCTTTGGCGCACGGCCGGCTAGCTACAGAGAAAAACTACTTGTTCATTGCAACGTCGTGACTTCTTCCTCCCACCATTCCAATCTCAAAGAGGAGTGGGGGCGCGGTGTGGCGCGACAGCTGAATTTCAATGCGATGATGCGGAATCTACTCGACATTCGGTGTACTCGGCTGGATTTCCGTTTGTCCGTAACTTATCTATCGTTCCACGAGTCAAAGAGGTGGACGATAGTCTTGCTTGAATATCGACGTCGAGCTCGTAGTTTAAAGTGTATGCTCCCTTTTTATATTTTTACGTAGAAAGCGTTTTAATCTACATGGAGAAGAATAAGTTGGAAATTAAAAACAAAGATTTCTATTTGAAATAATTTAAGTTGAATGTATATAATATTTAATGTTAAGATAATACAGCCTATATTCTCTCCCTCGTTTCTTTATGTTAAAATAAGAATGAAGGATAAAGAATCATGAAGCTTAAAGAACTTTCGTTATCATTCATATTGTTTCGTTGTTTATAATTTCAGATAAGTTTTTAAATTTAGTTGCTCGTCACTTAACTTCGTTATTCTATCGTTAAATCTTGGTGGTTATTATGTTACAATTTTGTGTTAAAAATATTATGGTGTATAATTTTATATCAAGCATATAATTCAAAATGAAAGATAAGTATTAAATTGTCGCATGCGCTATTTTAAATTAATTAAAATGTCACGCATGATATAATAACAACTTTGTCACGCGTTAACTTTTACACCAGCTATTTTCGGATATTTCGTTATAATGCATCCCAGAAAATAGCGTTTCTCGATCGCGAGATACGCAAGTGCTCATTAACCCAGAAACGTCCTACTAAATTTTCTGCGGTTCCCATTTAACTTGTCGATGATGCTTTTGGCTGGTCAAGCGATAAAAACGATTTTGATTAACTTCGTATCGGTGTCCAATTTAGCAAGGGATATTAATGTGGCAATATATTTTAATGAGGAACGGGTAACTGGAAAACAAAATTCATCTCATTCGAGATTTTGATCGCATCTGTTGAACCAATTGTCACGAACGAGCGTGTATATGCGTGAAATAAAAAAAAGAAAAAAATAAAAATTGTATAATTCATTAAATTGTCGTTCACAAATTGCTTAATAAAAATAATAAAAAATTACTCCTTTTTTTAATAAGGGTTTATCCCAAAACCGAATCCAGTGGTATCTCATCAATTTTAATTGCATTTATATCTTTTTCTTTTTTTTTTTTTTAAATTGTCAATGTTACTTCCCTTATTGTACAAAGAACTTATATCTATCAACGCTTAATTATTTTTCTATTTAAACAACGAACGAATATTTTAAAAATTGCATGATTATAACTGCACACTATATATCATCATCTTATTCACGTAATATGGAACGTTTCGAAACCGATTAAAACAAATCGTCAAGAATCCCCAAAAGAGCATATATTCATGTTAAATTCTAATTAACCAGGGGATTATCAAGCAGTGATAATCTAAAGCTACTAGCGCTCGTAAAAAAATAAAACTTCGCAGCAGACGTATCGGGAAACTTTCACCCCGGCCGCGAGGCGAAGGAGGAAAGTCGTTTCACGAGCCGGGTAAAACATACTTCAAGCGAGAAAAGGAGAAAAAAAAGAGGAGGAGAGGAGAGAAGGGAGGGGAGAAAGAGAAAGAAAAAAAGGGACCGCGACCCGTTTCTGTTGCGCCCTGAAGTGAGATCTCTGGCTGTCTAAGTACGATAGTCTTGTTCCCTATTGAAAAGCGGCATTAACCGAGGCTAGAACAAAACTACATACATACGTACGTAGCACGGGGAAGAAGAGCCGGTGCCACGATTGCGTAGTAACAAGCATCGCTTCCGCCTCTGGCTTCTCTCCCCCTGTCTGTGTACTGAAAAGTGGTTAAACTGTCAAGGATGCAACCCTCGACCGTATCGTGGCCATAAAGCTTTAGTTTAATGCTAGAGGTTTTGCGTGTTCCACGACCACGCAGCTGCAGGAAGGAAACTGAAAAGAATGGGAACAGGATGAGGAACGGAGAGGGAAATAAGAGGAGCAGCAGAGTGGCGGTGGAACGGGAGAACTGATGTTACGCTTGGATGAATGAAGAATAAGCTTTATTCCGTGTACGTTGTAACATGAATTATCTTTTATTTTTTTTTTTTTTTTTTCGTTGGAAGACATCGCCTTCTATGAATTCACAAGTATTCTTTCTAGTAGGATTAGAAATTATTATTTATACGGAGTTGTCGCTATTTGTTTCTTGATGAAGATAGCGTTTCTTTGTTTGCATGGTAGGAAAAGTTGAACTAAAATTTTTTCTTTTCTTATTGGTTTATTGAAATTAAAGTGAAATATCAATTGGTATAGAATATTACACGTTGCGTGTTTATAATATTACGGTTTTTATTTTATTCGAAATTGAATTCGAATTAAATGATGAAATTTGAACAAATTGATCGAATGAAAAATTTTCATTATAAATAATATTACAAATTTTATATATGTGAATTAACTTTACGAACTGTTTATTTAATTGCGACCTACTAATATTTGCATTTGCAAAATTAAATACAGATGGCGGTAATAAAAAAAAGAAACATGTAAATATAGGATTACGTTATAAGCTTTGCAATATTTGCCCACTGGAAAAAACAGATGAAAATAATATGCTTCATTAAATGCATAAAGTTAATATGCAGCCCCATAAAACGTGACTAAAATTGTTAATTTAAGTTACAATAAATTTAAGTTTTAAATTTTACGGTATTTTACCATAGTCATCGTACGAAGAATAATAATAAAATCAGTTAAAATTTGTAAACCGCTAATTATATCCAATAGAATTTAATAGAATTTAAGAAAAATTATTCCACATATGAGAAAATAAAAGAAAATATATTGAAAACTCAACTGTTCATTAGCTCATTAAAATATAATTAATCCGATAATCGATATATCATTATTTAAGGAAAAAAGAAATCTTATAGCTTTCCAAATTTTCCAAATACTTTAAATGATCTATCAACTGAAATTTTAATTTATTCAATTTATTATTATTATTTATTATATTTTGAGACATCAAACATCTCCGCATCTTTCTTTTCTCTCCTAATATTACAATACAAGAAACGAGTTCGTTGAAATAATTCCATCGGAACAAATTCCTTCAGGAAATAAATAGTTTATTCTCAACAATCATGTTCTTCATAAAATAGCTTTTTGAAGCTTTTTATCAATTGTTTCATATCACAATGTAATTCACAATTACCATTCTCTCTCGATTGAACTTCGATTCAATCGTCTTCTCTTTCTTCCGTGTTCCAATCCACGTAAGCATGGATGCATTTAGGCAAACGATAGTAACAACTCGCTACAAAGTCGCGGTCGATTCATGATATTTATCTATCTTACGTGTACATTCCACGTCTGTGTGCATTTAATATCCCTGAAAATTGTTTCGAAAATTAAGTTGAATCGCGTAATAAATTCTAAAAAAAAAAAAGAAAGAGAGAGAGAAGGGAATTTACAGGGAGGAACGGAGTTTATTCAAACGATGGTGCTAACATTTTGCTAATATCGACGAGGGGAAATTTAATTTCACGCCGTCCGTGGAACGGTCTCGAAACGAAAGAGGAAATATTCGAACGAAGTGGATGGTGGTGGTTGTATGTATATAGTATGAGGGTTGGCGCGGCACGTCGGAGAAATAGAAACGAACAGTTTTTGAGAACATCAGAGAAAGAATCTCTGCCGTTCTGAACGAATACCACTCGTCTGGCCTTTTCGAATTCATTTGCTGCTTAAAAATTACGCGGGAAATCCTCCTCTCGCGAGCCTGTTTTCAGATTGGAAATCCATTCGCAGCGCGAACGTGCGATAATTCAACTTCTCCATTACCACGTGTTCCGTTCCATGTATACCTTTCTATTCCGAGCACGCTCTAGCCGGAGCTGGAAAGGAGAAAGGAGTTTCATGCCCACGCACTCACGACGCCTGTTTATGAGGTTGTCGACACCATGTGCGTTACCATTTTCGACTGTGCGCCTATATGCCAAGCTATTCGAACGGATATACAGAGGAAAAGATGAATTGCGTTCATTATAGTTCTTTACGCGTTTTCGTATCCAGAGACAGCTATTCAACTTTTCGTTTTCACAATTTCTCACGGCGAGTGATGATCAATGACCGGCTTACGCTACTACCGTGTCTGATAAATGAGCTATCTATACTATAGCTTTTTGATCAATCGCTGGTCTACGTTACTTGCTTGAACAATAGATTTATCAGACACTGCGTGCCAGGCTGACTTACATCGAGCAGAATTTTACAGATTCGTTGTCGTTATAAGTTACAAATTGATACGATGATGATAAATTCTGCTAAGGTAATATCAAGTGTGAAATTAAAACAAATAATAAATATAATGTTGTAATACATGTATCAATATCAATTTTGAACGTTTCTAACAATCTTCAAACAAAGTTTCAATTATTCAAAAGAAGATGGCGAAACGATCATTTCAAATATTTCGAAAGCCAAGAGCAATATCCTTCCTCCTCACAAATTCATCCCCTATTCTCGTTTCGCGCCCCACAAATTACACCATCGATCACGTAACTGACAAAATGCATCCATCGATCGATTACTTCCGCTCGTTTCCTCCGCTTAACAGGAAATTACACGAGCAACGCCGCGCGAAATAATATATAAGACGGAAGAAAACTGGAGAATGGAGGAGCAGCATTGGGGGACAAAGAATGAGGAAGGGCAGCGTTCAAAGGGAATCCTCGTAGGGCGCAGGTGCGTGCGTCGGATAACCCGTGATAACCGGTGGCATTGATAACACGAGCACGCGTCGCAGTTATAATAGGGACGATCGCACGGTAACCAGGGTGTATACAATTACCTGGGCTTTTCAGGGGGAATGGGGATGGAGGGAATGGGTGTCTAGCCAAGCTGACCACCGAATGAAATACTCGCAGCAACGTATGGGGCAACGAATCGTTGGTTAAGCGTGATGGAATTGGTAGGTCGACAGATAGCTGCGGTGGTGACATCGTATGTCAATGCGTCCACCGTTCGTTCAATTGTCCATTGATTGCCTTTGCTTGCTATTTACACCGGTACAATTACATCCAATAGCAATCCGTGACAACGTGATGAAATTCGCGAGAGAATTTTCTCTGCCATCAGAAAAAAATGTTAGGCGCGTGGCCGTTTATATCCTAGCTTTCTAGACTGAATTAGAACAATACATTCAAACAGTTTTCATTCAAGTTAGCTTTCATCAGTGACGAATCTGGGAAAGAGTGTAGATAATACGACGTTAAATTACGTTTGTTGTGTATGTATTTCGTGTAATTCAAACGATGGCTCGACAGTGGCAGTGTTAATGCGTCGAGAAGAAATTGATATTTTCGTTTTGTTTCATACTTTGTGTGAGATAGGCCGAGGAATGTGAAAATACTTATTTATTAATAGTTTTATCAAACACACGCGTTTCTTGTTTGTCAAAGACTTCTTTTTTTGAGCATTTTATTTTCCTTCAAATATTTTCTTATAATTTATTTTCTATTTTCCAATCGATTGATTTATACGTATCGTGTACAATCTTGTTGTGGTGGCCATGTATCAACTCACGATCGCATTGATACTCTATCATAAATATCTTTTGACGTATGTAGATATGAATCACACTAAAAACTCCTATCCACACGATATCTGTTGAATCTATTGTTAAATATTGAATATTACTTTGGTTTTATTACTTTGGTGGTTCGGATATATTTATTTTTGTCGTTTGAACTTCTCTTTTCCTTGTTTTTCTTTGTTTGGAAAGATCTCAAGGAAGCTTAATCTTACGAATTGCACAGCTTTACTTCTTTCTTATTTTTCTTATAAAAGTTGGCACTAGTTTAGTTTATAAGTTGTAGCTTAGAAATATCGAGGGAAGTATAATTTTTGTGAATTTCTAGAAAGCTTTTAAGAGCTGCGTTTCATTCTTCTTCTGCTTCTTTTTCTTCTTCTTCTTCTTTTGACGTTTTATAATAAATTAGAATCTCGTGTTATATATATATATATGTACATCATATTACTGCTACTATAAAAAATATTTGAAATAAGGAAAAATTAGATAGTCAAATACTTTTATCTGAAAATTGTTTGAGATCTACTTAAATGATGTAATAAAACTGAATTACTGTTTAATCTAAAACCAATCAAATCGGTTGAAATATAGGCTAACGAAAATCGTTTTACGTTGAAAGATCAATAGCGGTTAATTAAGTTACGAGACAATTAATTTAAGCTGGACTTCCATGATCAACTTATCATCTCAGTTTGATAGATCGATTTTAACTTTGTCCAATCTAGTTAATACTCACTCTCTAAAATAATGCCTGTAATGGTATTTATATAGTACATCTAACTATACAACGTTAGTTTTCAATTAACTAAATAAATATTAATGATTTGTATTTCATTGAACGTTAAATCTCTAACCATTTATTTTCTTATCTTAGCTTATTGTACTTCAGTATCAGTACTTAAAATTAGCAAGCTTTTAGAACAAATTGAATAGATTGAATTAAAAATACCAACTTAATCAAATTATCTTTTAGAGAAACATTTTCTTGTAAATGGAATGTTTAAAAAAAACATGTTCCTTTTTCAGATGAATATATCATTATATTCCAGTAAAAAACTTTTCTTATCTGAATCTGTTTCTTCTGTTATTTGTTAGAAAATTTTTCTCGATCCAAAAATATAATTTTCTCATTGCAACTTTATTCGTTAGCCGAATATAACAAATATCGTAATACCACCAAATCGATAAAGAAAAGAAATTCAGAAACGCGAACTACTCGTTTCTTCCATTCATTCTATATTCATGATTATAGATCAAGAGGAAAGATACAATTAAGTGCACGCGATTCAGCGCTACTTGAATAAACAGATGTTCCAAATGTCCAAGTAACAAATTCGTATCCATATAAAACACCCTTAATCACCGACTACGATGATTGTAAAGCTAATTACATCATCGTTAATCAAACGTCTTCACCAACGAAACACACATCTTCTCCTCCATCGAGTCGCGAACGAAAAAAGAAAAAATTCAATCAATAAAATCGAACTCATCGCTGATATCACACGCGATCTCCAACTGACGCTGTACTTCAATAATTATTAATGTCCCTTTTTTCGTTAAAATCGAGGTGAACACAGGGCGCAACATCGAAAGTGCGATGCCACGCAAATCCTCCGCCACGAGCCAGCCCATTATTTTTGCTCGCACCTCCATCGATGTAATTAATCATCGGCATTATATCATCCACAGCGGCGGCCCTCCAGCTGGGCATAATTCGAGCACGCGCACGTGCAACGTCAGCCTGCTAGGCTGCAAATAATATTCGGCTGCTGATACGTCTATGGTATTTTGCCCAAGGTCGTGCAAATCAGAGCCATCTGGGATCGGAAGCGCGTTTTTTACCGATGCGTTTTTTCGAACATCGATATTACACAACGAGAGTAAAAAGTAATTAACTGAGCATTTAATTTTCTTTTTACTACATTTAAATTTTAATAAATTTGCAAAAAAGCGTGCAATTCTTAAAAATTGGATTAAAAATTTCTGACTACAGGTATTGATAAATATTACATTACGGATCAATTTTCCAATCTGTGAATCTCCATTAATGGAACGAGTTAAAGTTGGAACGAATGAGAAAGATTTTCTACATTTTGTAATCAATTCATTTATCGTGTTAACCAAACCGACACAATTACATTCTCACAGGCGTTAAATCATACGAATATTTTGAATTTGAATATTCGTTAATCATCCTCTTCAATATTTCACATAATTGAATCGGCAATAATTCTATTCAGAAATGATTGTTATAACCTGTGTTACATTTAATTCCATCGGATCGTTATTGAACGATTAATTATTTATCGTTATGTACTAATCTTCCGTGCATTCGAGGATTAATAATCTCCACGAAAGAAAAAAAGTGAAAAAAAAAAAAAATAAAAAGAGAATACCGTATTGTTATTGTGACAATCAGTTTTTGTAATTATTCAAAATTAAACGAGCAAATAGACGATGTTATTATTTCGTTATTAAAATATTAAACGGGTTTCGCTTTGTCTAATACGAAACAGAAACGTTATTTATGACGTAATTATCGAATCATTGATGCGAGAAAGTACCTGCCAATATTCTATCCATTTCTGATCAACGGACTGTTTCTGTAATGAATTTTCCATGTAATATATGTATAAGCCTGGGGTATCGAGGAGAAAATGCTTGCCTCATGTATCCAACGCGAGCTATAGCAGCTGTAATCGAGAAATGGCGCGGAAGAATCGACGCTCCAATGGCAGCAATATACAAAAAAGTGACGCGGCACGCACGAGGAATCTCACGAGAAAAACGTGTATTAAACGTGTGTTAAAAATCGTATATGTATCCTATTTCAATCAACGATTATTTCTTTTTAAATCTCATCGCGAAAAAATAATAATTTTCAACGGTGATATCCTACCATTAATTCAAAATATTTCAAATTTGAGCTCTAAACTATTTTAAATTACTGAAATCGGGAATAAATCGTTGAAAATTCACGAGAAGGAATAAAAATAATTTTCGAATATCAAATACAATATATTATTTTTCCATCGCACGATTTCATTCAATACGTTCCTTAAATATGAAACGAAAATGCTTGTCCATTTGTTTTTCGACCGTTGATAATACTCAATGGCCGAATAATGGCAATGTTTCAGTTCACCACCATCGTATATTTCCATACGAATATCAAACAAGGGGTTTTCGGCCCGAGCATATTAGTCGCTCGAAACGATATTTCATTTCGGCGTGCGTTAAATGTTTCACGTGCTTTGACACGAGTCACGACATGGCCTCAGAATTTTATCTGTCATCGAATCTCGTTAATGAGGCACGGATAAAGGGGCGATAGGGGCTCGATGACGGGGCTGCAACGAGTCAGCTGTTTAACGGTTACCGATGAACACTGCCGATAAAATTTCTTTTCGCGCGCCCTTCGCACTCCCCCTCACCATTCAACACACCCTGTTTTCTCCCAATAATGAATGCGATTTATGTGCAATTTAGAACGCGCGCATCGCTCGGATACCGGATTTATATTGGAAAAGGCGTTTCACCCTTTGTCGAATGTTTTTCCAACTATCGATGGACGGGGGAATTAAAATAATTCGCATTTTATTTCCGAATTGTTGAATTCGATTGGCCGATTGAGTTGTTTGTGCGATGAGCAATGCTTAATGCTGTAACATGATGATGCACATTGTATATCACATATATCGTTTTATTATACTTTTCAATCCTATCTTATGAGCGATAAGAGAAATGATTGATCCATACTGATTGACTTATCCGACAATGATTCTTATTATATCTGTCTGATCTAAGGACTATTTTATTTCATTCGAATATTTGAATTTGTTACATTTGAACACAGCTTGTCTAATTATGACCGTTTTATTTTTCTATTCGAATCATCTTCTTGATCGATTCCTTTTAATTTGAGAAAATATATTTTCATTCGAGGAAAGCTTATTAAAGAAAGGGCAGGAATTTATTACATTTATGGAAAATACATACCCAATAGAACGTACGTGATGTTATACAAGCAGAACGAACAAAATAACAATACAAAGAATTACACGCTTGCTATATTCGCCTGGTTCCGTGATATCGTAAACAAATTCCAAATCTAATTTTGAATAAATTCGATAGATTCGATAGATAGTAACGTAACGTATAACTATCATAACTTGTTAAGATAAATGATTTGGCCACGATCATTCGGTTGTTTTCTCCATTTGACTGATATTGTATGTATCTCGAGGCGTGACTGCGGTAAAGTGTAATTGATAACGAAGCGACGCATAATTCAGACTGAAAATGCAAACACGGGGGCCAGAAACTGTGCTGCGCGTGTATACAAACACTCGCGGCACACCTCGTATAATTTGCGAGTTAAACAGTTCGTTACGTGGCACTCATTTTCCATACAATACGGCAAAAATGTAAATTTGTTCGATTTCGGATATCGTGGACAAAAGCACGCCATATATATGTTAATGTTGTTTCGTGAAAATTGGTGTTTTCTTTAAAACTTGACACGATATCGTTATTTCGATTCGCGGAAGAAATTACAATCGAAGATTTCGTATTAAAAAATATATAC